AAAAAAAAAAAAAAGAGGGGGTGGTGGGTTTGGTGGAAAAGAATCCCATGCGACTCCATTCAAACACGATTCTTCCCTCAAATTAGCAACGCAAAAAAAGAAAAAACGTGGAAAAATGAAACAATCAGACCAAAATAACATATACATACGCAAATTCCCAGGGTGCCGGCGTATAACTGCCACAGTCAACAGCCAAAGTAAAGTAATAATAGAAAAAAGAGAAAAAAAAAAAAAAAGACGGAACGTGACGCATTCCACACGCAAAAATAAAGAAGGAAACTAACGTAAAAGCTGGGATTTCCAAAGGAAACAACAGGAGAGAATAGCTCACAAAAACGCCACGCAGAAAAAAAAGCAAAAAGAAGAAACCCAAAAAAAAAAAAAAAAAAAAAAAAGCGTCACTTTGGAAACATTGTTCCATAATCGATTTAAAATAACATGCACCTTGCGCTAACCAAACAAATATACATCTTCTCTTGTCAATTAAATTTATTCATTCTAGTATTTGATGAGATGCACAGAAAGTAAACGATTGTAATGGGGTTTTGTTCCTTGCTCGATGTTTAGCCCTTGTACGTGTAATCTCTCACTCCCCTGCTCATCCACACTATTCATATTGATATTTACATGACGCCTTCCCTCATAAGGAGCGAGAAAGGCTCAACGTCCGCTAGACTACCAATGTCTTCCTCTGTCGTATCCGCCGGCGCCACAAGACGGCAAACCCCCCGCAATTCCCTTGGATGCTGAAACGTCACAAGGGTAAAGTGCCTCATGTTGTAAAAAAAACGCTTTGTGCTCTTTTGAATCACTGGCTCCGACAAATTTCTTCGCCGTGCAAGCTCCAGAAAGGCGGATTTTGTAATTTTCACCCGTGTCAGGTGTCGGCCTGGCCTGTGACCCTTCAATTCGTGTTCGCAATCATCTGGCGGTGAAGTTGTCTGCTCGGGATTTTGATACTCTACTCGACGAAGATACAACGGGTGGGAATCATTTGCACGGGAAAGGCGAATAATCACCTCGGTGCGGTAATTCGCTCGTAATGGAACCAATGTTATGGTGACAACATTTGCCACCACAGCATCCGCGGGAATTTGTGCAAGATCAACACGATTCACAAAAAAATGGCGCTGTAAGCCGCCACGTTCGGCATGCATGTCCATGGCAAATGCATGACTCGGTGAAGAGGACGCCGATGTGCGCCCCAGTTCCCCACCGCCGCATTGCGTAACAAAATCAGGCGGTGTGAGTGGTGAACATATGGAATTATCATTAGTATTATTATTAGTATTGTTATTGCACAATGAATGTGCGGAGACTGTTGCCATGGATGCGCTGTTTGCAAAGGCACGTGTTCCTGTCGCCAAAAAGGCCATGTGTGCAACTTCATCCTCCCCATCCCTCTCCTCTCCCCCTTTTTGGTCGTGTGGAGACAACACTGTTGTGAGTTGCTGAAGGAAAAAAGGTGTTGGTAATGATGGCGATTTTGTCGTCTGGGCTTCGGATGATAGGGCTTCCGGCGTCGCTGTTGTGATTGTGGCTTCCCCGGCAGACTTGGCAGTTTTCTTGGGGGCCACGGACTCTGTTGCATTTTCTTCCAGCGTTGAAACGCCCGTCACAAAACCGATAAATTCCGCCACGCGTAACATTTTCTTCTCAAAATCCGTGTCCTCGTTATGTACCACAGAGACGAGGTAGTGGCCACGCCATGCATTTAGAGTCATGGCATCCAGGCGTCGTGCATCCTCCAGTCCCTCGGAACGAGCAGCGTTATTTTCAATCGTGTAAAACTGCTCGGCACCAATGGCTGCCGTTACCAAATGGACAACTGCATCATACCGTGCATCGCTTAACTCCTCATTCGTATACCCCGTTATCTTAAGAATGGCGTCCCACTCCTCGTCCGAGCAATACGCACTACCGTCCATTGTACCACGATCATAGAGAATCAAAGATGGTCGAGAGCGCATCGATGCCAACTCGTAAAAGGCATCCTCCAACATCATCAT